TGGTGGCACACGCCTGTAGTTCCAGCTACTCAGGAGGCTGAGGCAGAGGAATTGCTTGAACCAGGGAGGCAAAGGTTGCAGTGAGCAGAGATGGTGCCAGTGCATTCCAGCCTGGGAGACAGAGCGAGAGTCTGTCTCAAAACAAAAACAAAAACAAAACAAAACAAAGAAACAGAAGAAGAACAAAATGCAGGAGGAAACAGAAAAGCCTAGACACTGCGCTCATGAAGTGAAGTCTCGTGCCAAAGGTTCAGGACTTTCTCCCCCGACTACAGGAGCTGATCCCAGGGACATCAGAACTAAGAAAATGGATCACTCTGCTCCCTGAAGCTGTTCTTTCTGCATTTCAGATAGTAACTCCTACCATTCTCCCACTCTAAAATCCCGACAAAAATCCCTGATCTGCCCATCACCATCACCCTTCACCATCATTCAGTTGCCAAATCCTCTAACATCTACCGTCAGCATGTTTTTCACACGTACGCCTTTCCATTTACCCCACTACCCCCTCCACCCACAAGTGCAGACCCTTCATTCACCTCCTCCTTGACTTCAGTAATATCTTCGGAAATGGTCTCTGCCTCATCTCTCTGCTCTCACCTGTTGGCCCACCTCAACCATGTTTACTTTATATTCATGCTAATCCACTCTGCTAAGGCTGCTATCTCTGCCAGAAATCCTTCAGGGATTCTCCACTTAGTTTAGAATTTTTCAACCTTATCAACTTTGTAGCTCACACTATTGCACATTTCAGTCAGCTGGTCTGCTTGCAAATCCCAGGATCATTTGCATTTTCCACATGTGGACCTTTAACACCCTTCCTCCATCTCTGCCCACTGAAATGCTACTGATTATCTCAGAAGCAGGTCAAGTGCCAACTGTTTGAATTAGTTTTTCTTCTTTCTTTTTTTTGAGATGGAGTTTCATTCTTGTTGCCCAGGCTACAGTGGCGCAATCTCGGCTCATCACAACTTCTGCCTCCCGGGTTCAAGCGATTCTCCTGACTCAGCCTCCCGAGTAGCTGAGATTACAGGCGTGAGCCATCATGTCCAGCTAATTTTGTATTTTTAGTAGAGACAGGGTTTTTCCATGTTGGTCAGGCTCGTTTCCAACTCCTGAGCTGAGATGATCCACTTGCTTCAGCCTCCCAAAGTGCTGGGATTACAGGTGTGAGCCAGTGCATTCGGCCCTCAATTAGTTTTCTTCTCTTTTCCTATCAACCTCAATATTGCCATGCCTGCATTGTTTACCATGTTAATCTTATGTCGTCCTTTATATGTCATTATCTGTGTACGTAACTGTTTTTCCTACCAACATTTATTAAGCACCTATGATATACCAAGGGTATGCACTAGGCCCGTCACATGTGTTATTTAATTTAATTCCTACAACAGCCCTGTGAGATAGGTATTGTCATCCCCGTTTCACAGATCAGGAATTTGAGGCTGACAGAAGTTTTAACTTCTCAAAGTAGCATCCTTACTAAATGGCATCACTCATTTAACAAATTTTATTCCAATCCATGTCTGCCTGATTCCTAACCCATGGGCTTTTCAATATAGACTTGGGAGTCCCTTTGAGGGCAGCTAGCCCTGGAGCCTCAGGATAAGGCAGAGCGTGCCAAAGGCAGTTTTCTCTCCTCTTTCATTTGATTTGCTTCATTGTGCCATAGGAAATGCTCCTTTGGCCCTCAGTCAGCACTTAGCCTGGGCTGAAGAAATGATTCATGAAAACAAACATCATACGGTATGTTTAGTTCTATTTGTGACCCTGATTATTGTAAAACTGTGAGAGGAATGCCAAGCGCCAGCACATGCCCAGCAGTCTAGAACTCCCAGTTCTCTGCCACCTCAGTTTAGGCTTCAAGCTAAACCTCTCTGTTTCCTGATTATATCCAGGATACCTCAGCTTTCACGAACAAGGCTGGAACAATATTGTTGTCAGCCTTGGCCTAATAGGAGTTTTTGCCGTCAACACCCAACATCAGCTCACAAGAAATTCATATGAAGATTAAGAACAGAGAAGAGTGGCCAGGCACAGTGGCTCATGCCTGTAATCCCAGCACTTGGGGAGGCTGAGGCAGGTGGATTACCTGAGGTCTGAGGTTCGAGACCAGCCTGGCCAACATGGTGAAACCCCATATCTACTAAAAATACAAAAATTAACTGGGAGTGGTGGCCCATGCCTGTAATCCTAGCTACTTGAAAGGCTGAGGCAGGAAAATTGCTTGAGCCTGGGAGACGGAGGTTGCAGTGAGCCGAGATCGTGCCACTGTACTCCAGCCTGGCCAACAGGGCAAGACTCTGTCTCAAAATAAATAAATACATAAAATAAATTTTAAAAAATAACAGAGAAGAACTGGTCTATCTTGAATTAGTTTTTTACCATTTGGGATTAGAAGTCCGCAAACTTGTTTGATCAGTTCATATTGCCAACTGAATACTATAAAAATGGGTTTATTCTCTTCCTGATTGTTTTGGAGTGGAGGGTGTTCGGTGACCACTGTTTGCCTAGGGAGAATGTAAACAGGACTTGCGATGCCTGTGCCCAATGGGCATGCCTCCTGAGCCATTTCCAATCTGGTGTGGGGTGCGGATCTAATGGGAAAGAAGCTGAACAGGAAAGGTGGGTAGGTAACTCTATTTTGTGTTTCAAATGTATTTTCTATTTCAATACTCAAAGCAATCCTTTCTGAGGTAGGTGTTATTTTGATACCCATTCTACAAATCCAAAAACCACGTGGTAACAGGACTGAAACCCTGGTAGGTTGAGCTCCGTAGCTTTCCACTACCCTAAGCTTACACTTTGTGGCAAGACCTTTTGCTTAGGCAAATATTGGTCATTCAAACAGGACCAAAGGCAAAATTTGTAAACAAGTTCAAGTTCTCAAGTATCAATATTCTTCCCTTCCTCCAAACCAAGATAACAGAAGTGCTTAATTTCGGAAATGTTTCCTATTTTCCATCGTTGACAAAGATCTCAACAAGAATTGGTAGTTGAACTATACTCTCCTTACCTTTCACTCAGGAGACTCCCTCGTTTGATTCTTAAGCAAGTGGACTTTCTTGGTCTCATTATTTTGGTTGGTTAGACCACAGGCCATCAAGGCCAGTGAGCAGAGTCAGTGATGAGATCATCCCGTTCCCAGCCATCTCTAAAACAGGTTATAATGCGGCTGGGTGGAAATGTAGATGGCATGGGGCAGGTTGTCACTGGGCTAATAAAGGTTATTGAAAGTCCCACTCACTGGGGTCACTTATGTCATATTCATAATCTTCAAAGTCAAATATCTTTATTCACACAAAAATCCCACCCCACCCGACTTCTTCATGACCTGCTATGCTGTAGACACACATCTTTATAATAATATATATCCATATGAGATGGGGTAGTTATTGCTAACCAGTTCACACTAACAATTTATACAAAATATTCTGGGCTGGGTGCAGTGGCTCATGCTTGTAATCCCAGCACTTTGGGAGGCCAAGGTGGGAGGACTGCTTGAGCCCAGGAGTTAGAGACTGACTGGGGCAGTATATTGAGACCTTGTCTCTATTTTAAAACATAAATATGGCTGGGTATAGTGGCTCATGTCTGTAATCCCAGCACTTTGGGAGGCCGAGGTGGGCACATCATGAGGTCAGGAGTTCGAAACCAGCCTCACCAACATGGTGAAACCCCGTCTCTACTAAAAATACAAAAATAGCCAGGCGTGGTGGAGCATGCCTGTAATCCCAGCTACTCAGGAGGCTGAGGCAGGAGAATCGCTTGAACCCAGGAGGTGGAGGTTACAGTGAGCTGACATCACGCCACTGCACTCCAGCCTGGGCGACAGAGAGACTCCGTCTCAAATAAATAAATAAATAAATTTTTTAAAGTAATATATATATATATATATATATATATATATATATATTCCAATCTCTCAAAACCTTAGCCAAGTTTGATATTTGGGATTGTTTTTACAGTTCTAGATGCTTGACTTTTTATGAAGTCCACATTTTACAGAAATAACAGAACTTTTATTTTGCCTTCCCCAGCGTAGTTCTTGTAAATATCTTACTGTTGCCTCTGCCATATGGTTTCTAAAAAAGTTGCTCAGAGCACAAGCAAACATCATTATTTCTACAATACAGAAACGACTTAGTTTTGTGGCTCCTAGTGCCCTTTTGCGTTCATCCAAGATGACTTTTTAAAAGATATTTTTGGTTTTAAGCCATTCACTACCTATTGTCTGAATTCTGCTGCCAACATTTTGGAAACACCTTTAAACAAGACGTTGACATATGTTAGCAGAATTCAGAGAAGGAGAGCAGAGGTTGGCAGAAAACAAGATGTTGAAGAACTGGAAATCTGCATAAAGGTGAGTTGTGTGCGGTCAGGTACACTAAACAAACTACGCTGTGGGGAGGCCACGCTACAAGGAAGAGCCACATTGAACAGTCTGCACGGTGACCGGATGTTTCGTAAACAAGGAACGAGAGAGTTGGGATCCTGTCATCCATCCCTCTCACACGTCTCCCACCTTCGTGCACCGTTTTGTGTAGCCGTGATAAAACCACTTCGCTCCGCCACCTTTCTCTGGCCTTCCTAACTCCTTTCCTCTCCCAGTACTCTCATTTCCTCTTTCTATTTTGCTTCTCTGTGCAGAATCTTTTGTTGTTAACCACTTTTAAGGTGAGTTCATCCCAGCTGGAAAATAACTCGTCTTCCTCCCTCATTCTGAATTCAGGTACCCAGGTCGCTCCCCTTCTTGGGGCTGGGACCTTTCTCGCTGAGCTCAGCATCCCAAGCTTCGAGGATGATCTTTTCCTGAGTCCTCCACTGTGCTGGCCGCCTCATGACGCCAGACTGGTTCCTTTTCCCTCCCCCCAGGCCTCATCCCTAAAGAAATCTAAACTCCGTGGCCTCTGAAACTCTCTGCGCCTGGGTCCCCATGGTCTCTGCTTGGATCCAAGACTTTTGTGGCCAAAGCGGGGTCCGGTCGGGGGCGGCAGTACCTCTTTGCAGGCGTGAAGCTCCTGTCCCGTTCCCTGGGTCACCTGGAAGGCGGTCCCAGCCCAGAGCAGCAGCCGCAGCAGCCGCGGTGTGCGCCTCTCAGTTCTTCCCCTGCCTCTGGCGGAGAGATGGTGGCTGTGCCCAGGCTCAGCCATAGCGTCGTCCTGAGTGAGCGGCAGTAGCGATTCAGGTGCTGCTGCAGCTGCTTCTGCTGGCAGAAGGCGGAAAAAAGGGGAGGGAGGTACACAGTGGGAGGATGCAAGGGGCCAGGCTCGCTCCAGTCACCTCCCTGCGACTACGCCAAGGCCGCCCATCCTTCCTCCTCCCTCTGTCCTCTCCTCCTACCCACGTCGCCTTGACAACCGCCTCCTCTCTGGCTTCGCGCGGGTGGGGCAGGGACCACGCGCGCCTCTGCCGCTCACCTGCCTGTCGCCACGGCAGCCGCCACCGCTGGTGCGCGGGAGAGCGCGCGCCCGGGGTGCGCAACCGGCCCAACAGGCAGGCCCGAGGCTTGCGTGAAGAACGCGGTGGAAGCATCTTCCAAGCCAGTGCCAACAAATTTCCGTTTTCTACTGCCCTTTTGGGCCCGGGGTTATTTATGAGCAGCTCTGATTTTGCAAATGTGCCGTGTGAGCCGAGAGAAAGAAGATGGAGAGATCACCCTCCATAAGTCGTCGCCCATAAGAGGCCCCAGTATGCGTTCCCTCCTGCAAAGGCCGCTCCTGCTGTGGATCTTACATCCCGCCAAATCCATCCGTACTTTTTCTTTTCTTTTTCTTTCTTTCTCTCTCCCTTTT